ACATTAAGTGGTCATTAAACGTGATATTTAAAAACAAATTTTAATGAAATGGTAAGCTACTCATGATGTAATGTAAAATGGGAAAAGGACCAAAATAATGCATTTATAGTATATTCCCGATTATGTTCAAATAAAAAGTGTGTGTATATATATAATGAAACAGAAGGAAATTATAATATTGTTTATCTCTGGATAGAGATTAATTTTGCTTTTATTTTTCACATTTACCTATATTTTCTATGTTACTTTGATCATTAAAAGGAATGTGAACATCTCCAGCATTCAGTAGCAGGAGGGAGGCTTGACATCACAATTCCTCCTGGGAGCCTACATTCAAGGTCTGATTTCTCTCCAGGAGCAGACAATTAACTGCCCAGTTCCACTGGGTGGGGGTGGGGGTGGGGGTCTATTTCTGCCCTCCTCATTTCCTCTTCATATCTCTCTCGAATCGTTCCTGTTTGTACAAAAGGAGAGAGAGCAAAAACATGCAGCGGTGTGACGGCGTGGTCCTCACAGAACTGCCCCTGCCAGCCGGCAGCAGGGCCTTCCAGTTCCCCTACAGACCGCAGCCCCTCCCTCCCTCCTCCTCAGAACCTCCCTCCGGCTCTGCTAGACACCGACCAATTTATTTGTAGCTGATGTTCCCTTTGGGACAATCACTGGGGACAAGGGGGGACTCCCCCCACCCCAGATTTTCACTTGCCAGAATAGCATTCCAGAATCCTGGTTTTTAACAGAACTCAGTTATGGTAAAGATTCGCATGCTACACACCAACAAAATCTAATGTTCGTGTCAAATTATAAAGAATATTGATCAATATCCATTAATAGATCCTAGATAATAGAAGGAATTGCATTTTCATAGGACACTTTAATAAATCACAGTGTGACCAACCCTTCCTCTTCTCATGAGGCTGATGAAAGGCCAGCAGTTTAATGACATGTCACAGAAAATGATGGAGAGGAAGAATGATGGCAAAGCTGAGGGAAGAGGTGTTTAACTATTAATCACCCCTGGCCAGTGTTGCTATGTCGTTAGAGCGTTGGTGCACTGGAGGGTCTTGGGTTCAATTCCTGGTTAGGGGCACATGCCTGGGTTTAGGTTGGATCCCAGGCCCTGACGGGGCAAGTGTGGGAGGTGGCCAATCAATGTGTCTCTCTCACATCAATGTTTCTCTCTCCCCCTCTCCCTTCCTCCCTTCTACTCCCTCTAAAAATCAATTGAAAAAAATATTCTGGGGTGAGGATAAATAAATAAAATAAATAAATAAAACAATTAACCAACTCCCCACCACCACCACCACACACACACACACATGAGAGGAGAGAGAGGAGATGGAAATTTTCTCTGGCTTATGGAATAGAAGACAGCTGGAGAAAAGTAAGAAAACTGGAGGTTGCTGGGGGTCTCAGAGGAGAGGGTATCTTTTCCCACCCATGTTAGATCCAAATGAATTGAAAACAATAGGTGAGTGCCGTCTAGTGGAACTTTCTGCCATGATGGACTCATTCTTACCTGCACCATCCCGCACAGTAGCTACTAGCCACATGTGGCTGTTGAACCCCCAAAGTGTGACCAAGTTTTAAACACAATTATATTTAACTTAAATTTAAATGCCTACATGTGGCTGATGGCTACCATGTGGGCAGCACAGAAAGAGATGCAGTAAGTTAGGAGGTCTGAGGGCAGAGGAGCTCTGTCCCTCTTTCCCTCCAGAACTCGGAATGCCCAGGCGTTTCTCAGGTGGGAGCCGCTGAGTAAAAATGGCAGCATGGGATCCCGGGGACACAGAGGTCTGGACGGCCTCATTTAACTCCCCATGGCTCTGAAGTGGCATGGGGGAACAGCCAGCCACATTTTCCTAAGCCCCCCTCCCCCAGAAAAGTACAGACATTAGATTTTAAAAGGGAAACAGTGACCTCCAGGCTCTCTTGGTCACAGGAGGGGACACAGCTGCAGAATTGGCATGAGCCCAGGACTGTGGCCACGAGGAGATGGACCAAGAGCAGGAAGCTTCCCTATATGGAGACTGTGGCGTTCCCCCCATGTTCTCTAAGGGGCGCACCCATCCCCCAGCTGCAGAGAATACGGTTGCTGACCAGTATTCAGTGGGGATTGCCCTGGCTGTGGGAAGCCTGCTGGGTGGGAGAAGCCCACAGTTGCTGCTAGGTTGTGCTGAGGCCTCAGTTGCAACCACATCACAGGCCAGCTTCACTCTTTCTCCCAGGCCTGCCTTTCTCATTCCCTTATGGGTGCATTTCCCACAGTTTCCATTAAGCCCTGGACAGTGTGCAATTCTCCATGTCAGAATGGCAGGGAGCTCACTCTAGGATAGTGGGTGCTAGGAGGGTCCTAGGAAGCCAGCTCTAGAAAAGGATTTGGGAAATGGATCATTTGCTGGTTAGCTGGCAATGAGGACCCCATAACTAGTCGTTGGTGGGATAAAAGTAGCCCCTGGCATGCTGTAGCTATGCACCTGTTAAAACTTGCACTGGTGCTAAACTGGGATGGGATACCCGTAGAAGGGGACACTGTGGCAGGTACAATAATCCCATGGAGAGCTGACTGGAAGGCTATGAAACTGGGTGACCATTGCTAAGAGCCATTGAATCATTGAAGAGAGATAATGGCCAGCCCAGGGAGTCATTCACCAACTCCCGGCAAAATGTGAAAGCCAGAGGCCTCTGTGGCAGTATTTAAGGAGACTGTCGCTGAAGGGCAGACAGAGCAGAGGAGCAGCTCAGGACTTAATCATCATTGTGGAGCATCAAGGAAGGCCGAATTCTCATGAGTGATGGCCTTCTAGAAGGCCTCCATAGGCAGGGCCCTGCAAGGAAGGGAGTGGAATTCTGATACCTAGATGGGAATATTTGGGTAGACACAGCTGAGAACTCTGCATGTTCAGATTCCCCTGAATACTTTGCAGAAGTAGCAATAACCCCTGGCTAACAAGAATTTTTATAAATGACATCCTGATGTTACTTGGCCCTAAATATACCCAGTGAGATGGGCAAGCCTGGTGTTATTTTTCCCATTCTTCAAATGAGGTAACAGAGGATGGGAGAGCTATGAATACGAAGGGAATGACTAACCTGGTACCTCTGACACCTACTCGACTGCTTTCTCATCAGGGAGGCCGAGTCTGGCTTATGGCCACCAATGCAGTTGCTTTCTGCTCCGAAGGGCAAGTGGCCTGGGCCCTAGGCACATAACTAAACTACATGTCCCAGGCCACTTGCCCTTCGGTTGGAGCCTTATGATTGAGTTCTGGACAGTGGGCCAGAGACAGAAATAGTGTCTCCACTTCCAGACCTGCCTGCTTGTGTGTCATCTCAATTCTCTCTTCTCCACCCTGAGTGACTTTGGCAGTTCTATGTTGAAGATGATGGTATTGCCAGGTATGCATTTATTATTATATCTCTTCTGTTTATGAGAATTACGTATAGGCATGCCTCAGGGATATTGTGGGCTTGGTCCAGCCCACTGCAATAAAATGAGTATCACCACAAAGCAAATTACAATCTTTTTGCTGGTGGAAGGTTTTGCCTTCAATTTGTAAAAAAAAAACAACAAAAAACAAAGGCAATATCTGTAAAGCTCAACAAAGTGGAGCACAATAAACAGGTATGCTTGCATTTATTCAGGTAAAAAGAAATAAAAGTAAGTCATGATAAGGACCAATTAGCAAATCATAGGAAGGCGTGTATGGAAAAATCATAGAGGTGGTGCGTGCATGAGGGGTGAAAGCACTGCATTATAACCTCCCATATCTCTATTTCACACGCAGGCATAATCCCTGGGGGTGAGTATAATAGTGAAGAGATAAAGGAGGGGGTGAATCTGGGGAGACATCCTGGGAGAGCTGTCCCTGGGCCATCAAAGCCGTCCTGGGTGGATGGGGGTGAGCAGTTCAGGCTGGCCCCACTGACCCAGCAATAAATGACCACACCGTTAATGTGTGTCTAACTGTTTCCCATCAGGTCTGGTTTGCAGAATCTGAGTGAAGTCTCCTCAAGGCCAGAATGTGTAACTCTCCACCTCTTTCCCATGACTGTGGGCCTGGGGCGTTACACTCAGGGGCCCTTCAGGAATGCCAGGCCAGCAACTCTGCAGAGCAGCAGGCGAGGTCTGGGGTTCCAGTGCAACCTGAGTGTTCACGGGGCCACACTCCCCTGGTGGGCTCCAGTGAGCCACCTGCCAGGGTGCATCTGCAGGCAGGTGTGACTGCAGAAAGCTCCAGGAGGCTGAGTTTTAGCCTGGGGACACCTCTTTCTCTGCAGTACATGGCTCCTGCTGCTCTTGGGTGTGTGTGGGAGGGGCAGGAATAGGGATCAAAAGGAAAGGTGGGCCTGGCTGCTGTAGCTCAGTGGTTGAGCATTGAATCAGGAGGTCATGATTAGATTCCTGCTGGGGTTGCAGGCTCAATCCCCAGCGTGGGGTGTGCAGGAGGCAGCCGATCAATGATTCTCTCTCATCATTGATGTTTCTATCTCTCCCTCTCCCTTCCTCTCTACAGTCAATTGAAAAAAAATAAAAAGGAAAGAGTGTGGCAAGGCAACAGTGTCTGGGGAAAGGCCCGTCTCCTCCCTCTGCACCTGAGGCCTCCTGGGCAGCTTCAGGTGAGGAAATTTGAGAAGAGGCAGATTGGGTTTGCTCCCCTGGTTCTCATGGCAGCACCCCAGGGCCCATGCTGGTTCTCACCTGGCACTATCAGCTGTTGGAAAAGTAGAAGTGACTGTTTCTCTTCTCTCCCACTCCCCCCTCACCACCCTTTTCCTTTGAGTCCCTTCCTAGTTCTCCCAAGTCGCCAAGCTGTGGGGATCTTCCCGCCTGAACTTTTCTTGAAGCAGAGCACCCAGACAGTCTTAAGAGAGAGGGGTGTCTGCTGTCATAACATAGGTCACCACTGCAGGGATTATGAGTGTGCATGAGGGGCAGGGCCTTTGAGAATCAGAGGACCCCGCCCCCTCTGCCACACTCAGTGGAATGGGAAGGGAAGGAGGTCAGGGGATCTGTGAGATGTCACTCTTGCTCTGCTCCAGCTTCCAGATGGTGGCCAGGCCTCAGGAGGAGGACTGAGTATGAAAAAGAGGGAGGCTGAGACCCCAGTAGGGAATTTCCAACCTTCAAAAAGATCCCCGGGTCCCACAAGTAACCTCAAAGCGAAAGGTATCATACTAGAAACACTGGAGGCTTGAACAGTGAGGAGGTCAGAGGCAACTGTGATGAACGGGAGTAGAGACCCTTCTCTGATTCTTAGGGCTCTCTATTAGCATTCTGGAGGGCCATGACTCCCCGCAGTGCAGGGCCCAACAGTGCCCATGGGGCATCTTGTAAGAAGGACTAGGTCTTGGAGTTAGAACTGGAGTTGGTTTAAAGAAAATAAAGTTAGCAGCCTAAGATTCATACACATTGTATTTGATTGTGTAGCTCCCTCTTTTCTACCTCAGCCCTCTTAAAAGTGGACTCTCACTTGTATAAACAAATGTATATACATACATGTATATTTCTTAATTAAGCAACTATTTTTTAGAGCAGTTCTAGATTCACAACAAGATTGAATGGAAAGCACAGAGTTTCCATATACCCCTTCCCCCCACCCCAATCCTACTCTCCACATCCTGCAAGAGTGTGTGTGAGTGGCATGTTTGTTAAAATCCATGAACCTACACTAACTTGCCACTATCACCCAAAGTCCATAGTTCACATTAGAATTCACTCTTGTTCTATGTTCAATGGATTTTGACAAACATATAATGAAATGTATTTTCCACTGTTGAATCATCCTATATAATAAAAGGGTAATATGCAAATTGACCAAACAGCAAAACAACCGGTTGCTATGACACACACTGACCACCAAAGGGCAGAAGCTCAATGCAGGAGCTGCCCCCTGGTGGTCAGTGCGCTCCCAAAGGGTTTACATCAAAACCTGCACATGGATGTTAATAACAGTTTATTCATAATTGCCCAAACTTGGAAGCAACCAAGATGTCTTTTCATAGGTGAATGTGCAAATAAACTGTGGCACATCCAGACAATGGAATATTATTTAGTACTAAAAAAAAAAAATGAATTATCAACCTTAAGAACACATGGAAGAAACGTAAATGCATATACTAAGAGAAAGAGAACCATCGATCGGCCCCCTCCTGCATGTATCCCAACCAGGAATCGAATTGGCAACCTTTCAGTACATGGGGTGATGCTCAACCAACTGAGCTACACTGCCAGGGCAAAGAAGATTTTTAAATTTTAATAAATTCAAGCTTGTCATTTCATTTAGTTCAAAATACTTCTAATATTTCTCGAGATTCCTCTTTTGACCCATGTGTTATTTAGAAGTACGTTGTTTAATCTCCAAGTATTTTGGAATTTTCCAGTTATCTTTCTGTTATTGATGTCTAGATTAATTCTATCATTGTCTGAGAGCAGACATTATGTAGTTTCTGTTCTTTTAAACTTGTTAAGGTGTATTTTATGGTCCAGGATGATTTGGTCTATCTTGATGACCCGAATACAGTTTTTACTTTTTATTATGTGGAGAAAATTGTATAATGAATGAGTTATATATTCATCACTTAGCTTCAACAATTATTAACACAGTAGAGGCCCTACCAGTGCAGGGTCCCTAGCAGCTGCTGGCTGCCAGCCGGGGCCTCCCTCCCTTCCCCCAGCCAGCCCTGCCCCCTGGTCAAGCTCCCAGAGGGGACAATTTACATATTACCCTTTTATTATATAGAATGCCTCATCTTATTTCATTACTGATTTCTCTCTTCCCAGCCATTTTAAAGCAAATTTTAGACCAATATAATTTTATTCGTAGTTACATATACAGTATATTACAATGAAGCCATCGTGTTAGTGAATGTGGTCCTTTGGAGCTCAACAAAACCAGCCTGCACCGAGACCCACTGGCATCCTGCCTTCACCCACCCCACCCCTTCCCCTTGATCAAAGGTTGATAAATCTAAATTGTTCCTGTGCACTGAGAAGATTCCATGGACTGGTGATGTAAACATGCCTTCAGGCAGCTATTTGGGTGAGCAAAGAGACTGTGTTGCAGTTGGCATTCTGAGACCAGCTGTCGCCACTTGATAGCCATGTAAACTTGATCAAGGCATTGAACTTATAGAGCCATATCTAGGTTTTTCTCTCTGATTAAATGGAGATCATAAAACCCACTTGATCAAATTGTTGTGAAGCTTAATTAAGATAGGAGAAGTGAAAACCATGTTGTCCTCCTTATCCTGGTATCCTTGTCCTCCTAATTCTTAGAGATGTTCAATGAGGCTTTAGTGCAGGGACTCGTTTGCACACAGGAAGCCCTGTGCCTTCTTTAGAGAAGAGAATCCAGAACCTTCCATGAATCCACAAGTCCCTGGGCACCAATTCTCAGAACAAGGCTAAGTTTAGGTCCTGATAGAGATTGAATCTTGAACATGAGATGCTAGGCAACCCAAACTGTCCATCATGAACTGGGTATTATTTATTGAGTCATAAAGTTGGAGCAGCATAAGGCTCAAAAAAGTCAGTCTGAAAACTCAATAACATTACATGAACAGGTGACCCACACTCCCACAGTTGCTCCTATTGCCTTACCAGCTCTTTCTCAACCCACATCTGTAGTCTCATGGGAAATTATGACTATTTCACAGGGGAAGAAAAAGTGCAGGCTTAGTTGCAGGTGGGTTTGTATGATACGACCACAAGTGAACAGCTGGTCTTTTACATTTTCTCTCAGGAGTAAGTCTGAAAGACAGAGGTGATGGGAAATTTTTCCAATAGGCAGTTGGTACATCTGTTGCCCACTTAGTGCAGAAGGGAAGGAAGGTAGCCTGGGGCATGAAACTATACCAATTTACAATCAATGGTTAATGAATTGGAAAGAACAATCAACTTGCAAAGAGCAAGATTAGAAGACTGGTGACAAGGTCTGGTTCTCTGCCCTTCCCCATCTTTGCCTTCACCCACTTCCCCTTTATAACTCTGGTCTTGCTGTTGTTTTCCACACTTTTTTCCTTTTCATGTTCCTTATGATTGAAACTACCAGTCTTCACAGAGCAAACCAATGTCACCAAACACCATCCTATACTTGTAAATAGGATGTTCACCTCTCTCCACACAGATGAGCTCCAAGAAATTGGATTTAAATGATACCTCACTATGTACCTTTAATTTGGGAAACATGAGGTGTGTTCTCAGAAGTGGACTATTGTGTTTTGTTCTGACTCAGGAGCCATCCACTGTTCACAAGGTATGGCAAACGCAGCCTGGATCGAGGCTTGTTTCTGAATCCCAGATCTAGATATTAGCTGTGTGGTCTTGAGCTTCACTTATCTGAATCTCCAGCTTACTCATCTGTGAAATAAAGATAACGAGATCTACCTGATAAGATTCTATGGGAAGCAAATACCAGGGGATATAAAACAACACAAGACAGTACATGGAAAATAAGAGCTCAAGACTTCCCTTTTTTCTTCTCCATCTTGTACATAATACTAGATATATTCCTTAAAATTTTTGGTTTTGGGAAAATTGGCCTTTGATTATTTCTGTGTTTCCAGAAACTAGTATTTGGGTGTGAGTAATGTGTGTGTGTGTGTGTGTGTGTGTGCGTGTACTCTCCAGGTCTGCTAGAGGGAGAGTGCCAAAGTAACTCTGTGTATGCTTGTGTGTATCTGCATGTAACTCTGTGTATGCTTGTGTGTATTTGCATGCCTAACTTGGAGATTTCAAGAAAATGAATCCATTAAATGTGATTCAGAAAATTGTGTTAGTTTTTAAAGCAAGTTTTCATTAAGCCCTCACTCTGTGCTTGCTCTAGATGCCATGAGGCATAAATCAATATAAGATATGGTTTTTGCCTACAGGGGTTTACTGGCCAAGATTCTTCAAACTAGCCTAGGCATGCAGGGAAATGTATTGGCTCAAGTAGAAAGACTGCAGAAAGTGCAGGAATAGATTTAGACTCAGGTTCAGCTGGATCCAGGGCTTAAACCCTGCCAGGGCTCTTCCTGTGCTTGTCTCTCTTCTCCTCTCCATGCTAGTTTTGGCTCCTCCATGAAGGGAGGGGGCCATGAACAGTCTCAACCTTCCATCCACAGAGCGTACAACCAGAGAGGAAACAGAGCTCTCTTTCCCAAGTTCTAATGAGACAAATCCCACAGGAAAACTCTGATTGTCTAGGTTTAGGTCATGTGTCCATTACTAATTCTTATGCTTAAGTAATTAATGTCTGCCTTGTGCTACATACCCTCACTGTTGGCCAGAAGTGTAGGGTATCAAGGGCTGGGAATGAGGTACAGTTTCCCAGAAGAAGAAGATTGCTGTTATGGGAAGATTATTCAAATAACAGTCTACCACACTAAATTTTGTAAGGGAAAAAATACAGCCCAACAACACCAGAATATACATTCTTCTCAAGAGCATGTGGAACATTCTCCAAGAGAGACCTTTTGCTAGGCCACAAAACAAACCCAAATAAAATATGAAAGATAGAAATAATACAAAGTATGTTCTCCTACTATGATGGAATGACATTGGAAATAAAAAACTGAAAAAATTTGGGGAAACTCACAAATATGTGGAAATTAAAGAACACATTTCTAAATAACCAATGGATCAAAGAAGACGTGGAAAAGGAAATTAGACAATACTTTGAGATGAATGAAAATAATGATACGATATTCCAAAACTTATGGGGTGCAGTTGAAGTAGTGCTTACAGAGAAATTTATAGTTGTAAATACCTATATTAAGAAAGAAGATCTCAAATTGTAACCTCAATATTCTATGTTAGACACCAGAAAAGGAAAATCAAATTAAACCTAAAGCAAACTAAACCAGAAGGAAGGAAATATTGAAGAGGTGAGCAGAAATTAATGAAAGAGAATTGGAAAAATATATACAAAATTAATTAAACCAAAACTTGGTCCTGTGAAATCTCAACAAAACTTTAGCTAATGTATCAAGAAAAAAGAGGGAAGACTCAAATCCAAAATTAAAGAGGGGACATATTTACTCACCATACAAAAGTCAAAAGGATTACAAGTGAATATTAGTGAACATGCCAATAAATTAGATGACTTAGATGAAATGAAAAAATAGTTAGAAAGATACAAACTACCAAAATAGCCTCAAGAAGACAACCTGAATAGGCCTATAACAAGAGATTGAATTCATAATAAAAGAACTACACACAAAGAAAAGTCCAGGCCCAGATAGCTTCTCAGCTGAATTGCACCAAACATTTAAAAGAGAATTAATACCAATTCTTTACAAACTCTTCCAAAATATAGAAGAGAAGGAAACACTTCCCAACTCATTCTATGAGGCCAGTATTAATCTTATACCAAAACCAGACAATACATCACTATAGAGCAATATCTCTTATGGACACAAAAGTTTCCAAAAAAGAATACCAGACAGTATCCAAATACATAAAAGTAATTACATACCGCCCTAACCGGTTTGGCTCAGTGGATAGAGCATCAGCCTGCGGACTGAAAGGTCCCAGGTTGGATTCCGGTCAGGGGCATGTACCTTGGTTGCAGGCACATCCCCAGTGGGGGGTGTGCAGGAGGCAGCTGGTCGATGTTTCTCTCTTGTCGATGGTTCTAACTCTCTATCCCTCTCCCTTCCTCTCTGTCAAAAATCAATAAAATATATTTTTAAAAAAAGTAATTACATACCATGACCACGTGGGATTTATTCCAAAAGTCAATTAATGTAATATACCATATTAATAGTAAAAAGAAAAACCACATGATCGTCTTGAAACGGAATTTTTGGACTGGAACCCAGATTCTTTGTCCGTTGGAATCGAAGAATGAATGAATCCACGGACGGAAAGTGGTATAGCAAAGGGGGAAATTTATTGAAGAACAAGTACAGACTCCAACGTGGGGAGAGGGAAAGAGTCCCACAGAATGGACTTCCATGTAGGGAAGGGGGAAAGGGTCCCACTGAGTTCCTTTTCCCTATGGCTTATAAAGGCTGCAGATCCTGGTGCCTTGATATCCCCTCTGATTGGTCACTATTTCCTTAGACTGGTTACTCTAGTAACTCCTGAACTCAAAGGTCGAACCTCACATGGGACGTGTGAGGTGCCCCCCCTCCCCCTCCTTCCTTATTGTTTTCCTATTCCCTTTGGGCTTTCTTCTTCTTCTGGATGAAGGGCTTCCTTCTCTTTATTTTGTAAATATAGACCTTTTGCTGTTCCCAGCTCCCTCATTCTATGGAAATGTACCTGTTGCAGCTTTTCAGCTTCCCTATTCTATGGAAATATACCTTGTGCTGCTCTGCAGTCCTGTGCTTCCTCCACAGTCCCCTTAATTTCTAAAATTTCCTAAACCTGTTCTATTTTACCCCTAAAATTCCTGTTTCAGTTTCAATGGACACAGGAAAAAGTATTTGACAAAAATCTAACACCAGCCGTAACCGGTTTGGCTCAGTGGATAGAGCGTCGGCCTGTGGACTGAAAGGTCCCAGGTTCGATTCCGGTCAAGGGCATGTACCTTGGTTGCGGGCATATTTCCAGTAGGGAGTGTGCAGGAGGCAGCTGATCGATGTTTCTCTCTCATCAATGTTTCTAACTCTCTATCTCTCTCCCTTCCTCTCTGTAAAAAATCAATAAAATATATTTTAAAAAAATCTAACACCATTTCATGGTAAAAACACTAAATAAACTAAGAATAGGAGAAAACTCTTCAACCTGGTAAAGGGTATCTACAAAAACTCCTACAGGTAACATCATACTTAATGGTGAAAAATTGGATGCTTTCCTCCTATGATAAGGAGCAAGATAGGGATGCCCACTTTTACCACTTCTAGTCAACATTGTACAGGAGCTTTTAGGGCAATAGGACAAGAAAAATAAATAAAAGACATCCAGATAGAAAAGAAAGAAGTAAAATTATCTCTATTTACAAATGACATGAATTTATATATAGGAAATCCTAAGAAATCCACTATAAAACAACAACCCTATTAGAACTAATAAACAAATTCAGCATGGTTGCAGGATATAAGACCAATATAAAAAATAAATTATATTTCTATATAGTTGCATTGAACAATCCAAAAATGGAATTAAGAAAACAATTCCACTTCAATAGCATCAAAAAGAATAAAAACACTTAGGAATTAATTTAACAAAAGAAGTGTAAAACTCATACCCTGAAAACTATAAAAACATTGTTGAAAGAAATTAAAGATCTAAATAAATGGACAAATATCTCATGTTCCTGGATTGAAAGACTTAATATGGTTAAGATGACAATACTCCCCAAAGTTATCTATGGATTCAATACAATCTCTTTCAGTGGACTTCTTGGTAGAAATTGACAAGCTGATTCTAAGAAAGTTTAAGGGAATTAGAATAGCCCAATCTTGAAAAAAACAAAAGTAAGAGGACTCAAACTGCTCAATTTCAAAACTTACTATAAGACAACAGTAATGCCGAAACCGGTTTGGCTCGGTGGATAGAGCGTCGGCCTGCAGACTGAAAGGTCCCAGGTTCGATTCCGGTCAAGGGCATGTACCTGGGTTGCGGGCACATCCCCAGTAGGAAATGTGCAGGAGGCAGCTGATCGATGTTTCTCTCTCATCGATGTTTCTAACTCTCTATCTCTCTCCCTTCCTCTCTGTAAAAAATCAATAAAATATATTTTTAAAAAAAGACAACAGTAATAAAGACAGCATGGTACTGGCAGGTGGATAGATATAGAGACTAATGAAATATAATTGAGAGTCCAGAAATAAAACCATGTGTCCCTTATAAATGAATTTTTTAATAAGAATACCAAGATCATTCAATGGGGAAAAAACAGTCTTTTCAACAAATGGTGCTGGGAAAAATGGCTATACACATGCAAAAGAATGAAGTTGGACCCTAACTCACACCACATACCAAATTAACTCAAAATAGATAAAATATTTAAATGTAATACTTTTAGAAGAAAACATAGAATAAAACTTTGCGACCTTGGATTTGGCAATGAATATTTAGTTATGACACCAAAAGTGTGAGCAACAAAATAAAAAATAAATAATTGGGTTTCATTAAAATGTAAAACTTTTGTGCTTCAAAGGGCTCCATTGATAAAGTGAGAAGAAACCCCACAGAATGAAAGAAAATATTTACCAATCATGTATCTCTGATAAGGAACTTATACTAGAATGTATAAAGCATTTATATGACTCAATAATAAAAAGACAAATAACCCATTTTAAAATGGGCAATGAAAATGAATACACATTTCTCCAAAGAAGCTATACAAATGGCCAATAAACTTGGAAATATGCTCAACAACATCAGTTATCAGGAAAAGGCAAATCAAAATCACAGTAAGATACTGC